ACGTCCCTGACTTCTAAGACAAAAACAATTTTTTTTTTAAAGAAACACCAAAATATACATTTATCGAACTTCAGAACACTGGCTTGAGAGAGATTTTAAACATTCTCAAAAGTGAAAAAAAAAAAAATGTTACTAAACAAGTTCCAAGAATCAGAATGGCTTCCATGTTCTTAATAGTAACATTAGAATTTACAAGACAGCGGAACAATGCCATTATATTCCTGAGTGAAAATAATTAGTAACCTAAAAATGTCTAGTCATAGCCAAGTGTCAAGAAGGAATAAAAACATTTTCAGATTTGCAAAGTCTCAGCAGATTTACCGCCCAGCACATCAGGAAGCTCTAGGAGGTCTTCAGCTAACACAAAGGAGTAAAATGAAAGAGAGGAACACTGGGCATCCAGCCTGAGAAAGGTAAGGGGAACGCCCAGTATGTTGGTGAAGGAAAATCCCAGGATAGCAGCTGGGCACTGGGCCCAAAGAGAAACCAGTCCAGACCGCAGATCTAAAGTCTCCAGGAGTGCTATTGTCAAAAATAGACACACACACATATCTGACATGTTTAACTATATTCGGAAGAGGTTTACAGAACTGGGGAGAGGGGGGTAGGGGCCTAATTCATGTCTGAATATGCAGAAAACTAGAAAGCCAATCAACCAACCAAACAATAACAGAAAACCAACGCTAGGGAAACAAAGAAATGGTGCAAGGAAGAAAAAGTGGAAATAGAAAACAGTACACCACATAACTCTGCTGTGAATAATATTTACATAGTCATAAAAAAGTGAACAGGCGATGTTAATTTAATCAGAAGTATGATACAGCTATGTTGGGAGGCTAGGGAGGTGGGAAGTGCGTATCTGTGTGTAGCTGGGGGTGCAGGAGGTGCTGTGAGAACTGATTTCTCATCTTCTGTGGAGGAAAGTCAATAGGTAAAGCCTAAAATAGGGGAAAAAAAAGATCATGAATTAGCTTATTATGCAGAGATGGAGATGAATATCAAAGGACACAGCAGAAAGAGTTGAAAGGGTTGCCTCTGGGGTAGTGATAACTGGGTGGTGATGAATAGGGGCACGGGACTGTATTTCTTTAAATTTATCTTTATTGTTGAAAGTATTACAGATGTCCCCCCTTTTCCCCATTGACCGCCTACACCCCTCACCTGCCTCCCCCCAGGCCTTCACTGCACTGTTTGCGTTCACGGGTTATGCATATATGTGTATAAATTCTTTGGTTAATCCTTGTAGCTTTATGTACTTCTCTTGAACTTAGTCCAATGTGTCTGATTTTTTGGTAACTAAATTA